TATATATATATATACACTACCTGTGCTGATCACACATTGTGGGTCATGCTATTCATGCTTACTATAGGGATCATCTTACCCCATATATATTACCTGAGCTGATGACACATAAGTGGGTCAGGCTATTCATGCTTACTATAGGGATCAGCTTATCCCATATATATACTACTTTTAGGGAAGTGGGGTATGCTATTCAGATGTGTCATTTATCATATCTAGTCTGATTTACTAACCAAATCAATTTCTCTAGTTTTCTTATGCCGAAAGATATTTTCCAGACGATCTGAGAAATGTGCCCAGTAAACCATGAATTCATCTACACAGCAGTGTAACAAAACACAAGAAGAAGCTATATTTTGAAACAATGTTATCTCAAAGTAAAATGTGTGTTTTGTTATCTTTTATGAGAAAATGCCAAAAGATGGTTTGCATCACATTTTGAAACCATACATAATCATAATTCATTACTGCTTTGTACAGAACAACATATTTTTGTCACCAAAATGCTGCAATGCTTGGACAATATGTGGGGAAACCAGGCTGTAAAAGCCCACACCACAATTCTCTGTAACTGTTCGCACTCTATGCTGGATGGAGGAAGAATCCTGACTCCATGAGGTTCAATGGAACATACAGTAAAAAGCAATGAAGGTTTGCAAAATTAAAGCCAATCAGAATGTATTTCCTTGTAGGAAGAAATTTTTGAGTTGGTTGCTATGGGTTATGGCATTTTTTTACATCATCACTGCACTCTGCCTTGCCCTACATGCATGCATGAAGAGCTGTATATGCTCCTAAGTAAGCCAATTCTAAAACTACATGCACTTCATATATTAGCATGGATATGAATGAGTCTTTATTTATGGAGATAAGCAGCGATCCTGAAATATTCATAAACGTCCAAGAATCAACTCTGTAGCCAGTGATAGGCAATGAACTAGAACTACATACTCTGATATCTACTGACGTTTGGCTAGTAAGGCATGTTGGGACTTGTGGTTTCACAGCTGGTTGCCTAGATGATGTGACACATAGCTATAAACAAGTGCTGGACAAATCCCTGGAGCCAGGTAGCCAATGCGCCTTAAAAATTAAAGTCAGCTCGTAATTTTCAGGTTTTCTCTATTTGTTGTCAATGGAGCTTGCAGGTAAATTAAATCCTGCTCACTCCTGGAATGGCCACACTGGCTCCTGAACTCCATATTATTTTGTTCACCTCTGCTATAAACATAGAATTGTATAATATGCAGCTACTTTTAGGCTCAGGACTTGTTTTCACCAGACTTGTTGCCTGTCAAACACAGCATGCTGCATGTGTAAGAGAAACCATGTAGCTATTAAGAGGCACTGTATACACCAATGCAAAAGGAACAGAGACTGTTCACAATCACTGTTCTTAGTAAATAAAGTGAAGTTGTGTGAACGGCCTCTACTCCTTTAGTAAATCAACCCCCACTGTAGTACATTGCATTGTGAAACATTCATCCTCCATGCTACATTTTTTGGTGCCTTGACCTGTATTCTTCTATTCCAGTTGACAGAATGACATTTGACAGATCAAATCTAAAACAAAATCTGACCCCAAGTGAGCAGCATTGGAAAGCACTTTACAAAGCTGCAGACTCTACACCTGTACTCTATGAATGAGGCTGTAAATACTACAGCACGCTTGCACAGAGCCTTGATTTTTTTTATTCTTTGTTTTCCTTCCCCAGTTAAAGATTACTTGCACACTTCAAAGACATGTCTCATAAACCAAAGGTAGAGATAAACTTTGTGCAACTGTAATCAATATTTCCCCTTGCCTCACTTTTATTAGTCCTGACAAGGATAGACTGCGGCTCATCTTGAAACTTCACGCTACATCAACATTACTAGAGCAAACACTGTCATATCTTTCCTTGGGGCTTTAACTCCCTATACCATGGAGGAGTTTCGGAAGCTACTGTACATTAAACAGCCATGACCCTGCTAAAAAAAAAAAGAAGGGCGGTGATCACATGGTTTTCACTGATTGTATTAGATATTGCTTATGACATATTTTTATGCTCTTTACATAGCCAAATACTCCTTCTTCCATGGAAGTCATTCATTTCCAACTGACATGCACTGCCGTGATTCTAAAGCATAATTCTCACAGGATAAAGAGATCTTCGAATCACTTCAGGCCACTGTGTAATTTTGAACAGATGCCCCGTGTGATTGCATAAGCAAGGTACAGCTATTAAAGAATAATACATATTTTCTTGGAAATCTGTCTGGGATCTCAATAACTTTGTTTTCTTAACAGCATTTGATAAGTGACACATATCTAAAATATACATGGTAAATCACTGCCAAATGGTCATAAGCTGGCAGATCTACAGCTCAACTCTGTGCACAGTTCTTGCCAGCTACATTTACAAAGAATTTTAAAGATAAAAAAAAATGGGTTTCTAAGAGATTCCTTGCAGCAATGTTTGGGACATGGACTATTTATTTACGCAGGGACTGCTACTGAACTTGACCCCACTTTAGTAACTTACCTAGTTACTGCTATTTCATGTGACTATCTGATTTATCTGGCTCAGCCCCAGAGCACCAGTATTCTTCTGATCTCACTGACTGATGCCTGATTTACAACAGGACTGCTCCTGTAGTCACACTCTGTGGTTCTTGGTTTAATCACATACTCCTCGGTTCTGGTCTGTGATCCCTGCCTAAGAGCGGGGCAGCTGTTGTGCAGTAAATATGCCCCCTTGATTTATAATAATGCCTTTGGTGTCAATGCTAAGTATTGCTGAATGCCAATCACTTTCTCATTGGGGTGTGCATTTGCACATGTAACTATCCAAACACATGTTGTAATACCACTGAACATCATGATGCATATGTGTATGTGTAATGACAGACACAAATGCTGTAGTGTACAGTCTTAGGTCTGCAATAAATCTACATATGTAAAACAACCCACTTAAGAGCTAACTATAAGCTATAAACATATCAGATAAAATCTCGGCTTATACTCGAGTATATACGGTATTTCCACATTTTAATTTTAGAAGTTGGTTGATTGAAAGAAAATATTACCAGCTATTGCCAACACTGCTTTTTGGATGATGTACAATGTTGACATAACCAGGCTGATGTTCTAAAGGATTTGAGAATGTTCACACCATAAATTCTGTAAAGATTTGCTTCAATTATCCAATCAGATCAAATAAACAGGCATTTCCTTATCACGTGATCGGATACTTAAAGTAAATCTTCACAAAATGTATTGAGTAAAGGTTCTCAGATCCTTTAGTAAATCAGTCTCACAGTGCCCAGTGACAGTACACTATGAGATACCCAGGCCAAGCACTTCCTCCAAGCAAGCACCAACCTTATCCATGCCTCATCTATAAGTCATGTAATCTTGTGTGCAACATACCTCTGTCATTGTGAAGTATATACTATGTGCATACTATATGGCAAGGGACTGCTGGTAACCAGATTTGTAAAAAGGCTTTGTTATATTTTACGTTTCAAATGCCTCTGTCTGTTGTAAGTGTTAATTATGAAGCAAATAGATAGAGAGATATAGAAAGAAAGAAAGAAACAAAGAAAGAAAGAAAGAAAGATGGACCCTTGAAGGAAGGAAAAAAGAAAGACACTGTATACACTATATATGAAGGAAGGAAGGTAAGAAGGAAGGAAAACCATATACACTATATATAGAAGTAAAAAGGAAAGAAGGAAAACCATATACACTATATATGGAAGGAAGGAAACCATATACACTATATATAGAAGAAGGAAGGAAAGAAGGAAAACCATATACACTATAGAAGGAAGGAAGGAAGGAAGGAAGGAAGGAAGGAAGGAAGGAAGGAGGAAAGAAGGAAGAAAAGAAGT